CACACACACACACACACACACACACACACACACACACACTTCAGTAGTATCACTGACACAGAGGGGAAAAAAGGAGTGCTGCTTTTGCCCTGCTGTTGTCCAGCAGCAGCAGTTTTCCCCCTACATGTGACTAAAAACGACCTCAGGCTGAATCATTACCGATCATGCGTCATAATAATTACAGCGTCTTTATTTTCTTACTTTTTTTTCTTTTTTTAACAAAATTTCACATCCACACACACACCTGCACACACACTAAACTGAATTCAAGTACACAACATCTCCCAGCCCCTGCAGTTATCTCAGCAAATGAAGAGAAAACAAAACAAACGTAGTAAATGCCTCTGCTCTGCAACAGAGTCCCGGGAGACAGTTCAGTCTGCGCCCACAGCAAAGTAAATACAAACCAAGATTTTCAGTTAATGAGAGGGATTGGGGGGGTGGGGGTGGGTGTGTTTGTGTGTGTGTGTGAGGGGGGGGGAGATCATGCACAGAAAAATGACAATGAATCAAATGAATCAATAAATAAGAGAGAAACATCCATGAATGAATTCAAATCAGTGTATTTTTAGTTTGAGAGAAAAGAAATAAAATATACGGCATGTAACGGCATCCCGCCGCCGCTATAATATGAACAACTTCTAATTAAGAGAGGTCACGCACACAAGCAAACTATGATGAGGCTATTTGAATTTTTAACTTTTTATTATTCATTTCTCCTTTTTTACCGTTTTCTTTTTAAAGGAAGCTGTTCATCAAAGAGCATTTTGTTCATATATAGTCATTTTTTACAGAGGAAAATACTGTACAACCTTATTTTTTCTTCTTCTTCTTCTTCTTCTCAAAACAATATCTGGAGGAATATCATCTACACACATTATTTATCCCTATATTGTGATCATTTATATCCAATGCTAAGCTCAGGAGATAATTCATGATCAGTGTGTCCACTCCTCAGTCGTACATGTTCGCTCAATAAAAACCAGAGGGTGGTTTAGACAGGTTTATAATTTAGTACTACAGTAAGTGAGCATTGCTATGAACTCCTTAAGAATTAATTGAAATCACAGTCCGTATTAGTGTTTCATACAGGAGCGCCGTTTTCCCGACGCACCGCGTTTCCTTCCTTTTTTTTTTATGTTGTCGTTGTTTTTCTTCCTTTTTTTAAAATCGCTGTACTGTCCAATCACAGAAGAAGCAAAAAATAAAAACCAATCTTTAAATAAACCACAGAACAACAGTTCTTTGTCACACTAACATCTATTTGTGCATCAAAGCAAAAAAAAAAAAAAAAAA